TAGTCCTTTATAGAACTCTTAGCAGCAAAAATAAAGCTTAGTTTATATGTCCATTAAAGTTACACAAAAATACAAATTCAACCTTCTACACATACCTGTTTCTGCTGTTGATACATAAATAGACAAGTAAAATAATTTAAAGTGATTAATATTTTATTATTTTCTAATTGTTGGAAAAGCAATTATTCTTGTCTCCAAAATAGCAAATTTTCAACACTACACCCCCTCACACGATGCACCCCTTTACTCATGATGCACTCCTCACACACTGCACCCCTCAGTGCAGTCTGTGTGTATTTAGCCATCTGTCTGTGTGTGTGTACTCAGCAGTCTGCCTGTGTGTACTCCGCAGTCTGTGTGTGTGTACTTAGTAGTCTGTGTGTGCACTCAGCAGTCTGTCTGTGCGTATACAGCAGTCTGTCTGTGTGTTTTCAGAAATATGTGATTGTTAGCGGGGAGGAGAGAGCTAATACACATTCTATTTGTCTGATATCCTCCTCTATGGAGACCCCAATATGTGTGGCAGCCATGATGGGGTAGACTGTGAAGGGGGCTAAAGTTATGATCAGCAGTTCTGATTTACTGCTGGCCACTATATACATATGTTACGGATTTGGTAATCCTTGAAAATGGCTCTAAATGCACTGTGGGCATTGGACCAGACAACAAGACAACAGGGGAATCGTCGGATTTTGGGGGAATGAATCATACCTTTTGTCGTTTCTAAGTGTGTAGTTGGAGATATTCTGGAGAGTTTTACAGAAGCTTCAACTGTCTAAGAGTTGTGCTAAGAGCTTTCTTTTCTACTGTTACAGGTAAGATTCATCTGTAGGAAAAGGTTACTGATTGCACAAGGTTTGAATTCCTGTTGGTAATCATAAGGCATGTGATTTGATTAAGCTAGTTACTTGCTATTGATTGCTAGTTAATTAGCTATTGTTTGCAAATAAGCAGAGGCCTACCCAGGTGTTAAACATTCCTAGTGGGTGGTGATTTTAGGAGTTATATAAGGCTTGTTGTCATTAGCTTGTCTACTATAGCTTGGTGCTACTTCTAAGTGCTGTTTCTAAGTGTGTAGTTGGAGATATTCTGGAGAGAAACTGGAGGTAATCTGAGGTATTCAGGAGGATAAATACAAAGTTAAGATTTGTTAGATTTAAATTATTCTCCTAATTGGAATGGCAGACTTAGTTCAGTGTAACAATTACTATGCATTTGTTTCACGTTCCACTTTTTGGAGGTTGGGTTGTTGTCTAATCTGTAGACAGTTCTCTATCTTGCGGCAGGAGATTGTATTTTTGAAGTCTGAGATTTGTAAATTATCTGGTGAACAAACTCAGACTGGAACTGCTGCAAAGCCACTGCCGCAGAGACATACTAGGAATGGCAGATGGATTACTGTAGGATCTGGTAGACTTAGAGTTGTGGATAAAAGGCATTTTGCACAGTCTGTTGCTCTTCATAATTCATTTTCTGCACTTTCAGAGTGTAGTGGTGTTGTGGAGAGAGGCACTGAGGCTAGTGGTGTTATGGAGAGAGGCACTGAGGCTAGTGGTGTTGTGGAGAGAGGCACTAAGACTAGTGGTGTTGTGGAGAGAGGCACTGAGGCTAGTGGTGTTGTGGAGAGAGGCACTGAGGCTAGTGGTGTTGTGGAGAGAGGCACTGAGGCTAGTGGTGTTGTGGAGAGAGGCACTGAGACTAGTGGTGTTGTGGAGACCGGCTTGGAGACTATGGTGAGGCCTAATAGAAAGCAGTTGTTGTTGGGGGATTCCATTATAAGAGGTGTGGAGATGGACAATGGTGGTCTTGTGAGGTGTCTTCCCGGAGCTACTGCTCACAGAGACAGGAGACGTATCTGTAATATTGTTAAGCAAGCAAAGCAGGAAGAGGAATTGGATGTACTTGTCCATCTAGGGACAAATAACTTGGCTTGCAATGAGGTTTCAGAGTTAAGGAAGTTTTTAGTGTTTTTGCCAATGATATACGGCAGGTTGCATCTACACTGAAGTTCTGCCTGTGCATAACACTCAGAACGACAGGCGGATGCATATTAGGGACTTTAATTTGTGGCTTGGTGAATGGTGTCGGGAGCAAGGATTGCATTATTTCTCATGGTAGCTCTGTTTGGAATGGAGATAAGCTGTACAAAAAAGATGGTTTGCATCTTTCTCAAAAGGGAACAAATGTGCTAGGATGTATTTAAACTAGGAGGGGGGGGGGGGGAAAAAGGGGGATAAAAAATCAATCCAATTGTATTTAAACTGGGGGGGGGCAAAAGGGTGATAAAACAACAATCCAATTGTCCCTCAAAACAAGGACAGAAGGTGCCTGTAGCAAGTGTGTTAAAAATGATAAGCTTAGAGTCATGTCTACAAATGCTCGCAGTTTAGGGAATAAGATCCATGAACTTGTGGCAATAATGGTAACTGATAGTGTAGATTTAGTCGCTGTTACTGAGACATGGTATAATGAGAAAAATTACTGGGACATAGCAATACCAGGGTACTCTTTATATAGGAAAGGAAGGCAAGAAAGGGGACGGTGGCCTTGTATGTGAAGGATAGCATAAAATCTAGCCTAATAAAAGTTAGTGAGGCAAACATAGAGCCCGTTTGGGCTACGTTAGAATTTGGTAATCACACAGTAACTCGTGTAGGTGTGATTTATAGGCCCCCAGGACAAATTGAAGAGTTAGATAATCTACTAGTTGAGGAAATAGCTAAAATGACAATGAAGGGGGAAGTTATCATCATGGGTAACTTTAATCTTCCTGATGTAAATTGGAAAACAAAATTAGCTACTTGTGCCAGGAGCACACATATGCTAAACTCCCTACTGGGATTGTCTCTAAAACAAGTTGTTGGGGAGCCAACTTGTAAAGAGGCCATACTAGATTTAGTGTTAACAAATGGAGATTTGTTATCAGATATTACTGTAGGTGAAAGTTTAGGATCCAGTGATCATCAGTCAGTGTGGTTTAATATAAGAACAGTGACTGAGTCACACCACACAAAAATAAAAGTTTTAGACTTTAGAAAAGCAGACTTTTCTAAAATTAGAATATGGGTAGAGGAGTCATTATCAGACTGGAGCAATTTAAATGGAGTCCAAGAGAAATGGGATTATTTAAAGTTGCACTATTGAAGGCAACAGAAAATTGCATTAGGCTTGTCAGTAAAAGCAAAAAATTCAAGAAACCACTGTGGTACTCCGCAGATGTGGCCAAAATAGTTAAAAACAAAAAGTTAACATTTAGGAATTATGAAAAATGAGTGAGGAAGACAAAATGATCTATAAGATTAGGCAGAAAGAGGCTAAACAAGTTATAAGAGCTTCAAATCACACACAGAAGAGAAAATAGCACAGTCAGTAAAAAAGGGGGATAAAATGTTTTTTAGATACATAAATGAGAAAAGAAAAGTAAAACAAGGATTAGTTAGATTAAAAACAAAAGAAGGAAGGTATGTAGAAGAGGATAAAGGTCTAGCTGACTGCCTCAATAAATATTTTTGTTCTGTATTTACAGATGAAAATGAAGGAAAGGGACCTCAGTTGAGAAAAAGGATAAATGAGTCATTTATTACACGTGAGTTTACAGATGAAGAGGTTCTATTTCAACTGTCAAAAGTAAAGATAAATAAGTCAATGGGACCCGATGGAATACACCCAAAGCTATTAAAAGAGCTTAGTGGTGTACTAGCAAAACCATTAACAGATTTATTTAACCAATCATTGTTAACAGGAGTAGTCCCAGAAGATTGGAAGTTAGTGAATGTTGTGCCCATTTACAAGAAAGGTAATAGGGAGGAGTCGGGCAACTATAGGCCAGTAAGCCTTACTTCAGTAGTGGGGAAAGTGATGGAAACCATGTTAAAGGATAGAATTGATGAACATCTAAAAACACATGGATTTCAAGATCAGAGACAACATGGATTTACTTCAGGGAGATCATGCCAAACTAATCTTAATGATTTTTTTGATTGGGTAACTAAAATTATAGATCAGGGTGGTGCAGTAGACATTGCTTACCTAGATTTCAGTAAGGCTTTTGACACTGTTGCACATAGAAGGCTTATCAATAAACTGCAATCTTTAAGTTTGGATTCCAATATTGTTGAATGGGTAAGGCAGTGACTGAGTGACAGGCAACAGAGGGTTGTAGTTAATGGAATATATTCGAAGCTTGGACTTGTCACCAGTGGGGTACCTCAGGGATCTGTACTTGGACCCATTCTCTTTAATATTTTTATTAGTGATATTGCAGAAGGTCTTGATGGTAAGGTATGTCTTTTTGCTGATGATACTAAGATATGTAACAGGATTGATCTTCCAGGAGGGATAAACCAAATGACAAATGAGTTAGGTAAACTAGAAAAATGGTCAGAATTGTGGCAACTGACATTTAATGTGGATAAGTGCAAGATAATGCATATTGGATGTAAAAACCCAAGGGCAGAGTACAGAATATTTGATAGAGTTCTAACCTCAACATATGAGGAAAGGGATTTAGGGGTGATTATTTCTGATGACTTAAAGGTAGGCAGACAATGTAATAGAGCAGCAGGAAATGCTAGCAGAATGCTTGGTTGTATAGGGAGAGGTAATAGCAGTAGAAAGAGGGAAGTGCTCATGCCATTGTACAGAACACTGGTGAGACCTCACTTGGAGTATTGTACACAGTACTGGAGACCGTATCTTCAGAAGGATATTGATACCTTAGAGAGGGTTCACAGAAGGGCTACTAAACTGGTTCATGGATTGCGGGATAAAACTTACCAGGAAAGGTTAAAGGATCTTAACATGTATAGCTTGGGAAGAATACAAGAATTGAGTGGTAAAGCAGTTTCTAAAGGGAACCAACACAGTAAAGGAGGAGACTATATTTAAAAGAAGAAAAACTACCACAACAAGAGGACATAGTCTTAAATTAGAGGGACAAAGGTTTAAAAATAATATCAAGAGGGAAGTGCTCATGCCATTGTACAGAACACTGGTGAGACCTCACTTGGAGTATTGTACACAGTACTGGAGACCGTATCTTCAGAAGGATATTGATACCTTAGATAGGGTTCAGAGAAGGGCTACTAAACTGGTTCATGGATTGCGGGATAAAACTTACCAGGAAAGGTTAAAGGATCTTAACATGTATAGCTTGGAGGAAAGACGAGACAGGGGGGGATATGATAGAAACGTTTTAATATATAAAGGGAACCAACACAGTAAAGGAGGAGACTATATTTAAAAGAAGAAAAACTACCACAACAAGAGGACATAGTCTTAAATTAGAGGGACAAAGGTTTAAAAATAATATCAGGAAGTATTACTTTACTGAGAGGGTAGTGGATGCATGGAATAGCCTTCCAGCTGAAGTGGTAGAGGTTAACACAGTAAAGGAGTTTAAGCATGCGTGGGATAGGCATAAGGCTATCCTAACTATAAGATAAGACTAGGGACTAATGAAAGTATTTAGAAAATTGGGCAGACTAGATGGGCCGAATGGTTCTTATCTGCCGTCACATTCTATGTTTCTATGTTTCTATGTTCCAGGGGAAGTTCAGCCATATGAACGAGTCTGCTTGAGCAACATGCGTCAAGTGTCACAACTCAATTGTCAGTAGGAAAACTTGCGAGAGGTTAGTAGGTGATTAAGTAGCAACTCTGTTGTAAATGCACATGGCAAGTTCAGAGAACAAAGGAGAGACCGGAGATCCCAATGGGAATAGGCATAATTTCCAAAGAAGGGCACCATGTCTCGCTGATACACTGGATTCCATGCGCAGAGGGGTAACTCCTTCTAAATCAAGTCTAGTATACCAGTAAAAGACTGTGGAGGCCTACAGTTGAAACTAAAAACCGCAGGACGCCTAGGAATGGAAACAAATCCAGTGCTGGTACCAGGACAGGGGTTTAGAGTTGGCAATCATGAGGCTAAACAGCTCAGCTTCTGAGCTGTTGCTCGAATGGTATGCCTTTACACCTGTACTCAGCAGCAATTTAGGAAAAGTCCCAGATCCCAAGGAACTGGGGCTAGCGGTATGCTGGGTCACAGCCGGAGTGCTAAAGGTAGGTGTACTGGTAGTACATGTAAGCGACAATGTTTCCTAGTTCTGATGTGTGAGACATACTATGATGAATAAATAAGGAGTAAATTTGATTGACTTGTCAATGACCGTGTAGCCCTACATCAACTGGCAGCTTGCTAAGTGCCGGATGGTGAATAATTAGCTGAACTAAGGGAAGGTGAGGTCCTGCTAATGCCTATCTAATAACCTAGATAGATTGGAGCGAGGCTCTAGCTACGAGTTGGGCCAATGGGCTAATACCTCTGGTTGAGGATGTGAGTTTTCCTTGTGGGACCGAATTACAATTATACTAAAATATGATACACACCTACATAGTTACATAGGCTGAAAAGAGACATGTGTCCATCAAGTTAAGCCTTCCTCACATTTGTTTTTTGCTGTTGATCTAAAAGAAGGCAAAAAAATAAAACAGTTTAAAGCACTTCCAATTTTGTAACAAACTAGGAAACAAATTCCCTCTTGACCCCAGAATGATGGTCAGATTTATCCTTGGATCAAGAGCTATTACCCTACAGTTGAAAAATTATATCATTGAATATTATGTTTTTGCAAGAATGCATCTAGTTGCTGTTGAAACACCTGTACAGATTCTGATAAAACCACTTCTCCAGGTATATAATTCCACATCCTTATTGTTCTTACGGTAAAAAAAAAACCTTTCCTTTGCCTTAGACTAAATCTTCTTTCTTCCAGTCTAAACGCATAACCTCGTGTCCTATGTATAGTCCTGTTTGTGAAAAGATTTCTGCACAATGATTTGTATTGGCCACAGATATATTTGTATAATCTTATCATATCCCCGCTGAGGCAACGGTTTTCCAAACTAAAGAGGTTTAAATTTGTAAATTTTTCTTCATAGCGAAAATGTTTGTAACGGCACCCCCAGGCATAAAAGGGTTAAACCGCCGTTTAGTAGATCTTCCCTTCCAGAGACACAGGCACAGCTACTGCAGAACACCAAACTCCCGAACAGGATACCAAGTAGCACTCCAAATTCCTGAACTGGAACCTCACGAATAGCTGCTAGCAGCTGAACAGGAAAAGAACCCAAGCGGCTTACACTCCTGGCAATCAGTCTCTAACAGCATACAATAAATCCCCCCAAGAACGAGACAAAGCTCCGTGTTGAGGGTCAAGCAGTGAACAGTCAGAGCTGTGGGTTTATTGTGCTTATGTACACATTATTACACATTAGTACCACCCACAGGGTTTTGGAACACAACCAATAAACACATACAATACACTCAGACACTCCCACACAAATTCCTCCCCTCTGCCTGTGATTCAATTACCTTACACAATGGGTAATGTAATTAGCACAAGCAGAGAAATACAATTTTTCCACATTATTCATAACTTGAAAAGTATGCATCACATTCACATAAATGTTTATGAATGCTTACATTTTCAGAATCGGCATAATCTAAATACAAACATATGTCAAAATCATCCAAATTGGTCCAGTGGTTCAAAAGATAGATCGAAGTCCTTTGTGACCAAAGGAAGCATGGCTTTTCTGCCCAAAACCAGTTCCACAGAGTCTTCTATCCTGGAGATAATTGGGAAGTAATCCAATTATCTCCAAAGACAGAGGCAAAACTCCATTGAACACATGGCAGCAAAAGACAATAAAACACATAAAAACATATAACTTTGCAGCCATTGCACAAAACAGGTACATTCAACATATCCCCAGATAGCTCAGATCTGAGCGCACATTATTACTGAATGGCGCTCAGAGCACACACATACAGTTCAATTGTCATGGAGCCAAAGTCTTTCCCATAGTCTTTCATTATATGAATGGGCTCCATGGCATAGCTATCTGGGGTATCACCGCTCAAACAGGGCAAGCACCAAATGACCCGGCTTTCATGTCTTTGCAGGGGAAAGTCAAGCCTTTTAACATGGGGCCATAATCCAAAGGCAACAGGCGAGCAACCAGGCTTCTCCAATGCAATGTGGCGAGATTGGTCTCGTCACATCTCTCCCCTTTTCCAAACAGACTAACAGGGTATATGACCTCCTGCCGGTCAGTGCCCTTGTTAGTCCAGCAGCCCACCCACAACACACAAATAGTAATACAGCCCACCCACAATAAATGGTTACTACACCTGGGTAGAGGAGAACTTTGTCCATGTCCAGGTGCCTTACCACGGCTGTGTGGGTGACTGGTAAGCTGACTTGGTGGGTTGCTGAATGGGCAGAGACCAGCAGTGCTGGTTGAAGCCTGGTTGTTGGAGGGGGAGACCGACTGTCTCCCCTTTGGTTACACCGCTCGGTTGCTGGAGGGGGAGACCGACTGTCTCCCCTTTGGCTAAACAGCCCTGTCGCTGGGGGGCAGAACCGACCGTCCCTACCCCCTGTGCTGTAAGTGCAGAGACCACGGTCCCATCTGCACAGTTGTGGGGCTTACTGTCTCCCCCTGGTACATTAAGCTGCCGCTGGGGAGAGGGGGTAACAAGCTCCTCTCCCATACATACTTCCAGTCGCGGGGGAGGGAGACTGGGCTCTCTATTCCCGGTAGGACACTCTGCCGCTGGGGAATGGAGACTGGGCTCCCAATTCCCAATAAATCGTACTGCCGCTGGGGATCTGAGCCGATCGCCCAGCATCCCTGTAGCTCACCCTGCCACTGGGGAGAGAGGACGCTGCTCTCCTCTCCCTGCAAGGTACACTGCCGCTGGGGAACCGGACCACTTGTCTCTGCCCCCTGTTACTCAGCCTGCGCTGGGGAATGGAGCTTGGGCTCCCAATTCCCTGCAATATCTCCTGTTGGGGAATGGAGCTTGGGCTCCCAATTCCCTGCAATATCTCCCGCTGGGGAATGGAGCTTGGGCTCCCAATTCCCTGCAATATCTCCCGCTGGGGAATGGAGACTGGGCTCCCAATTCCCTGCAGGACCGGTGGAGAGACCTCGGTCCCATCTCCACCAGCCACCTGGGGTTCTTCCCAGTAACATTCTGCAATATCTGCCCAGCTGAATGGGTCTGGATCTGGGTCTCCACCTCCCTGCTGAGCCTTCTCACGGGAGTGGAACAGATCTTGGTAGCCCTGCTCTAGCTCCATCTCTCGGGTCACTAGGTGGACCAGGTCTTGCTCAATCTCATGAGTGTCATCCCAGTCATACCTGCTCTCCCTCCACTCCAAGAGATCACTGAACTGGGCTTGTGTAGGGCTCCCAAACTCAGGCTCTGAAAAAGCCTCCCATAACAAGCCAGGACCATCAAACTCCTCTGGCTTGTCATGCTCGGCTGTCCAGGGCATTGTGGAGTATGGGGTACTGTGCCCCATACCACCAGAGCATCTTCCAGCCACATCTCCTGCCATACCCGGAGCTTCAATTCCTTCACCCATTCATCCAGGGGCTGCTCTCCCAGGAAGGGCATCCGCAGGGCTAGTCGCATCTGCAATCGCTGGTCCTCCTTGGGGAGTCTCTCGCCCCGCTGGTACTCCACAATGCCCAGTGCCTGGTACCAGATGCCTGTGCGAACTGCATCTGGTTATTCATGACACCCTTATCGTACTCCACTGCTGGTTCAATCCTGATGCTGTCAGGATCACTGTACTCAGACATGCGTTGCCCTCAATTTGTAAAATCCAAAGAAATGGTGTCTCCTGTAGCTGTCCTTCTGGCTGTAGGAACGATCCCACCGCTGCCACCAATTGTAACGGCACCCCCAGGCATAAAAAGGGTTAAACCGCCGTTTAGTAGATCTTCCCTTCCAGAGACACAGGCACAGCTATTGCAGAACACCAAACTCCCGAACAGGATACCAAGTAGCACTCCAAATTCCCGAACTGGAACCTCACGAATAGCTGCTAGCAGCTGAACAGGAAAAGAACCCAAACGGCTCACACGCCTGGCAATCAGTCTCTAACAGCATACAGTAAATCCCCCCAAGAACGAGACAAAGCTCCGTGTTGAGGGTCAAGCAGTGAACAGTCAGAGCTGTGGGTTTATAGTGCTTATGTACACATTCTTACACATTAGTACCACCCACAGGCTTTTGGAACACAACCAATAAACACATACAATACACTCAGACACTCCCACACAAATTCCTCCCCTCTGCCTGTGATTCAATTACCTTACACAATGGGTAATGTAATTAGCACAAGCAGAGAAATACAATTTGTCCACATTATTCATAACTTGAAAAGT